ATGTGCGCACAATGTGTTGTGAATTTAAAATAGCCAGGGTCGGCTGGTGTGTTTAAAGGCTCTAGACTCCACATGGCCGACCACGGTTCAAGTCCTGGACCTGGTGGCTTTCTCACTTTCCCTCTCTCTTTCTGATCAAACTAAAAGAAAATATTTAAAAAAAAAAAAAGCCTTGAATCATTTTGGGAGGCTAGAGTTTGGCTTAACTTTTTTTTATTATTATTATTTTACTATAGAGCATGTGTGTTTGACAGGGAAGAAGGGAAGTGAGAAATCACCTCCCGGGGCCATGGCCATACCACAATTCCATCATGATTCTCTCAGGGTTTTGGGCACACCCTCTTGGCATGATTTTTCAAGCTACTGGGTTTTGGAACTTGTACCGTGTAGTCAGCCAGGTAGGTTCCATCCAGCTGCCTTAACCTCACCAGAGACAGGGAGACAAAAGGCAAAAAAAAAAAAAACCAGCCCCCCAGGGGGATGTCCACACCACAATCCCTTCTCCATTCTGTTGGAATTTTGGGTGTGTCCACATACATTCCCTGCGTGAGTTTTAAGTCACTGGGTCCAGGACTGCAACCACTGTTGACTACGTGGGAGTCCAGTAACGTAGCCATTATGCCATCTTTTGAGACTTTGGGTACATGTACACACCTAAACACCTGGCATGAATTTGAAGCTACTGGGTCCATGACTTGGAGTCCAGAGACTTGGTCACTATACCACATGCCAGTAAAACTTTTTTTACTCCCCAGAAAGAGCTGCTTAACTGTTATGGGAAGGAACCACTTTTTTGTGGTACCTAAAAGGCAGTTTCTGGTGAGGGACAGGAGCTCAGTTACAGTTGGTCTGCGATTGTAACTTGTAATTTTTTTCTGTGTAGGTACAACTCCAAGAGGAGACACTGGAGAAGAACCAAGCTGGGTCTATGAGGAACTGGACAGGATGTGGGCCACATATTTATGCTGTACCAAGGTCACTATAGGCTTGCCACATCAAGCCGAAAATTTGACTGGACACTTGTGTTTATTGGGGAAAAAATGATGCTTCACCTTGTCTCTAAGTTCTGCATTGGTAGGTTGGTTCAGTAATAAATATGTGAGACCTTTTGTTTGGAGTACTGTCATTTTCTGGTGTGTGGAGTACTGCCAGGGCCTAATGTAACACTGTCCTGTAGAATTTTGTGTGATGGGGGCTGGTGGGTGGCATGGTGGTTAAGGGCTCTGAACTCCCACATGACAGACCACCGTTTGAGTCCCAAACCTGACAGTTTGCTTTCTCACTTTCTCTCTCTGTCCCTTTCTGGTCAAATTTTTTAAAAAAATAAACGTAAATAAAAGAATTTTTAAAAGAATTTTGTGTGATTAAAGAAATGTCTGGCTGCCAAGTACTTTCAGAGTGGGCTTAGTGCGAGGTATTGATTTTAATTTAGCACTCAAGAGGGATAGGGAAAGTGAGAAAGTATTCCCCCATGGTGTGTGGTCATGCCACAATCCCTTCTCAGAATGTTGGGCATGCACACGGTTACCTGGCGTGTTTTTCAAGCCCTTGGCTCAAGACTACACAGGTGGCCTTAACTATTGATTTATTTTAATTTGACTGGAGGGGTTGGTGAGAAAGCAAGCCACCAGGTCTGGGACTTAAAGCATGGTTGACCACATGGGAGTCCAGCACCCTAAACCACCAGGTCACCTGCTGGCCCCAAGGATTCAGCTGTCAACCACCATATGCATCTACTGGCCCAGGGGTGGGTTTTTAATTTTGGGGGGGGGGCGGGGGGGGGGGGTTAAGCCATGGGGGCCAGGACTCGAACTGCAGTCGACTACATGGGAGTCCAGCGACAGAGCCATTTATGCCAAGTGCTGATCTCAGTTTTTAATTTTATTTCCCTGTAATTGTAATAGTTACATGTGGCTGGTGGCTTAGAGACCTGTTAATGAGAGCTGCATGTGTCATACTTGAGGGTGGTATTATGTTCTTTTTTGTTTCTTAGGTTTTTGAGATAGGACATAAATGTGCTCAACAGAGACAATGAAAGAAAGAAATCACTCCCCATGGGGAATGACCACACTGCAGTCCCTTCTCCAGGGACCCTGGGCACGCTCACACCTGGGATGAACCCCCAAGCTGCCAGGTCCAGGACTTGAACCATGGTCGGCCACGTGGGAGTCCCAACACCTCAACCACTATGCCACCTCATATCCCCAAAGGTGGCACATTGTTATTTAAAATAAATTGAACTGTATTTGCCTCCTTATTCTGTGATAATAGTTCTCACCGGCAGACCAGACTGCTCTACTTCCTGGTTATGTACAGCCTGTGAATTAAATGGCTTCTGCTACTCTTTTTTTTTTTTTTTTTTTTGGAGAGGTTATTGCTACAGGGTGTGTGCTCACCAGAAAATCACCCTCCAGGGGGGGTTAGCCACACCTCAATCCCTTCTCCATTCTCTCAGGATCTTGGGCACGCATGAACATGTACCTGGCGTGAGTTTAAGCCACCAGGTCCAGGACTTGAATTGCGGTCAACTACATGGGAGTCCAGCGACAGACAATACACTAACTGCTGGCCCCTTCTACACTTTTTTAAAAATTTGCCAAGGTGCATGCACTTGCCAGAGAAAGAAGGAAAGTGAGAAATAGTCACACCATAGTCCCTTCTCCATTTCACCCTCCTATTAGGATCCTGGGCACACATGTACCAGATGTGTTATTCAAGCCACTGGGTTACGGCCTCAGCCCTACAGCTGTACAGGATTCAGCTGTCTTCCACCAGCACACCATAGGCTAGCCTGGTTTCTGTATTTTTAGATTGAAAGAAAACTTTGACACTTGAAAATTGGGATTCATATTTCAGTGTCCATAAGAAAAATGTTATTACACAGCCACACCCACTCATTTGGGGTTTTTTAGAGGCTTTTGCCTTAGGGTGCATGCACTTTCTAGGAGGAGAGGGGAAGATAGACGCTGTAAGAGGGAAAGTGAGAAATCACTCCCCAAGAGGTATGGCCATGCAATCTTCCATTCTCCTGGGTCCTTGGGCACACATGCCATGTGCCTAGCATCATTTATCAAGCCAACAGGTCAAGGACTTGAACCACGGTCAACCCTGTGGGAGTCAAGTGACATAGCCACTGTGCCATCTGCTGGCTCCTACCCCCATTCATTTTCATACTGAGTATGGCTGTTTTCACCCTAAATGCAGCGAGGCCAGGTGGACTGCCTTGTCTCAAATACTATGTGGCTCTTTGTAGAAGATTGCCAACCCCAGGTCCTGGATTCAGGAGAGAGCACTTGATCAAAGGATCCAGCAGGATTGTTGACATTGTTCGTTTGTTCATGTTCATTCACTGTACATCAATACAGTATACAAAATGAGGTTTTCCAGCCAGAATACACTGTGTAGTGGCTCAATCGGGGTATTGCCGTACAGACTATCGCCAAGTGTTGGCATTGTAAGCAGCTAGTGGCTTTGCCTGACTTACTGAAGGGCTGCTGAGGGGTTAACGTAATGTGCACGCTCAAGCTCTCCGTCACAGGTTTGAGGCATTACCAGCTGAGTGCGCTCCTGTTAGACCTTGCAGTGTCCCTAGATGATAAATTGCCAGGAAATTGGTTCTTTTGAGAGTTGTTTTTTTTTTTTTTTTTTTTTTTTTTTTTTTTTCTGAGGGGCTGGGTCCCTTCTCAGACAGAGGGGAAAGGGAGAAATCACCCCCTCAGGGGGGATGGCCACACCGCAGTCCCTTCTCCCCCATTCTCTTCTCGGGATCTTGGGCACACACGCACACACACACACCTGGCGTGAGTTTAAGCCACCGGGTCCGGGACTCGAACCATGGTCGACTACATGGGAGTTCAGCAACATAGCCATTATGCGAACTGCCGGTCTCGAAATTGGTTCTTTAATACCTCTAAAAGAACTAGTAGTGGAGACCAGCAGGTGGCATGGTTAAGGTGCTGAACTCCCATGTGGCTAACTACAGTTCAAGTCTCAGACCTGGCAGCTTGAAAATCATGCCAGGCAGTTGTGTGTGTGTGTCTAAAATCCTACGAGAAGGGATTGTGGTGTTGCCATC